TCCTGAGGGTTCCCATACCTTCAACACACCCAAACAACTGTGAGTGCATGAAAGTTCTCGAAAAAAAAAACTGACATAGAAACCAGAGAGTTTTAGTTGCTGACACGACAGAGACTCCAGTCTTCAGAGTGACTTTACACAGGGTAGAAGGCTTTATAAATAACACTGTTACTGTGCTCCACAGCTGTCCTTTTCCCTACTACTGCCCAGCCAACAGCTCTGTTCTGAAGTCCTGTGAAGGGGGTTCCATGCCTGTCAACACCAGTGGGCTCAGAGGATCCAAAAACAGCTGCTGTAGAGTGTGTGAGGGCGGCACTTATCGTCCTCATCTCTCTGCTGTTCTTCAGTGTATCCAGTGTCCAAGTGGATTCTTCTGCCCCCCAGGTTCTTTAGTCATTGTTTCCAATATAGAAATCCAGTACATCAGTTATTCTTTCAGTAATTACACTGCATGTCATTTTAATTGTATTTTTCATAGGCACTGAGCACCATAAAAGTAATCCCTGCCCTGTGGGACATGTTTGTCCCACGGGATCCAGTGAACCAACACCCTGCCCCCCAGGTTCCTTTGGAAACCTCACTCATGGTCAGAACACGAGTGGCTGTTTCCCATGTCCAGCAGGAACCTTTAACCACTTGCCTGCTCAGAAGGCATGTTTTCCCTGTGGCAGTTCCTCCACCTCGCCAGCAGGTTAGCCCTTATAGGTTTTTCTTGTACATGTCGAACCAGCGGCATTAAAACCACATCTGAACCAAAAAGCTCTTGTGCTCTACATCCTCAAATTCTGCTCGTCTTTCATCTCCTTCTTCTCATTCCCTTGTCCTCTAAATCAGGGCTGACCAACCTCTGTTCTGCCGACTGGTATCAATTATTTGGTACTGGGCTGCAGTGGGCCATAGTAAAAGAATTAATAATGAAACTGAAAAGGATCTTGATATTTTCATTTTAGTACTCAAAGACATTTTAGCAAATTTTTAAACTAGTACGTCTTTCAAAAATTGTACTCAAGTAAAAGTACTGTTATTTTGAATAATAATACTCAAGTAGAAGTAAAAAGTAGTCATCCAAATAGTTACTTGAGTAAGAGTAAGTACTTGGTGAAAAAAACTACTCTAGTACTGAGTAACTGTTGAGTAACATCTGATTTGATGAGCATTCAATCAGATAGACAAAACTATAAAGAGGAGAGTTTATCCCATAAATAAAATAATAACATAAAACTAATTAAATACCTTAAAATAAAATAAAGTAATCTTTATGTGAATTCAAGTACTTCAATCGTTAATATCCAGCACTTCTCTAAGTCAACTTCTTCTTCCCTTATTCTTCTCCTCGTTCTCCTCCCCACTGCTGTTTTCAGGGCACGTTCAGAAGATGACCTTCCTCCATCTAAGCTCCTCCTCTGCTGTTACTCCAGCCATGTCTCCATCGAGAGCATCCTTTGTTCAGTTCATTCACCTCCTCTCCTGGTGTCTAAACCTGTTGTTTTTCTGAGTCACTTTCCTGTTAGTTCTCCCACGGCTGTGTTTTTTGTCTTTAGTAGTCTTTGTGTTTTGTCCCATTTTTCCCCCCAGGTTCTTCTTCCTGTGTCTGCATCGGTAAAAACCGTTCATTCCAACACTCAGATGGTTCGTGCGTGTGCAGAACTGGTTTCATCTTCTACAATGATCTGGATTTCAAAAGCTCAACCTCCGACAGTGAACTGGACTGTCAGCCCGAGGTCAGTGGCAGAATGAACATCAGGGTGTGTCTAACATTCTCAGTCGTGTATTTATGAATATAGCTAAACAGAAGACTCTGGGATGAATTTGCTAATCCCTCGAACCAGTCTAATTATTAGTGATGATTAAAAAAAAAGTTGTATCTTTGAAGTCTGCGTGTGTGTGTTCCAGGTGAATCCACGCTGTGCCACAGGACAAGTACGTCTGGCAGCATCCAGAGAGTGTGTGACACCCTCCATGTACTCCTGCAATGTCACCTGTGGACCACAGGGAGGAACTCTGGATGTGGAGATGGGAATGTGAGTTTCTTGAATACTTTCCCGGCCACTTATCGAGAAGAGTCAAAAACTAAATAAACATTATGGAGGCAACACTAAAGATTTAAAAATAGTTAATAAATAATGTATGGATTTCGACCACTTAACTCAGGATTTATTTTATAATCTCAGATTATATCCTATTTTAAATTACAGAGGTCCTCAACTTACATTAGAGTTTCGTTCATACAGAATTTTTCAGCGCAAATCGGAACTCACGTACTGCACATAAGTGCCAAGGTCACACGTTTTAACAGCGTAGATCAAAATGATGGAAGACCTCTTTATACATTTATGGGAGATGATGAAGTTCTGGCCTCAAAACATCAGCACGTGACACTAAAAGGCACCTAAATATATCAATATGTACCGACACTGAAACTCAAAACAAGAGCTATGCTAGAGTGGCTTATCATCAATGGAACGAAACAAAAATCGGCCAGTAGGTTGCAGTATTGTGCTTTTGATATCCTCATTCATGTAAAACACAATACAATTAAAGAAATGAAATACATCAAAGTTTTGTAACTGACACTCATTACACTCATATAACCTAAACAGAAGAGATGACGTAAACCGGAAACTGCCATAGGTCAAGGACGTTGTAAACCAAAATACTATGCGTAATGTTATGTGATATTATATAATAACATGTAACAATAACATATTCTCTCATTATTAAATTTAAACCTGCAACGAACGCCTCGGGTTCTTTGCAGCTCGGTGTTTGTTGGCAGAACAACAACAGCACCTTCAGTTTTGTTCTTCTTCGGTGTTATATTTCAGAGCTGACCTTTCTTTGTTGTTTGTTTTTCTTTGTTTTAACCATGCCTTCAGCCCTTCCTGACTTTCTGAGGAGAACCACTTGAATATGCTCTCTTTCTTTTTGTCTTATCTAACCAACCGTGACACCTCAGCTGCCAGTGTGAACAGTACGTGTCAGCTGAGGAGATCTGCGGTACGTCCTGCCTCTCTCAGCTGCCTCAGCTCTCAGCACAGCTTTCAGCAGATGGACACCTGCTGCTCAGCTTGAAAGAAAGCAGCAGAACGGTCTGGGTAGAGGTGAGGCATGGGCAGGAAAGGCTTTTTGACAAACTGAAGGTTATCTGCACCTTGGCTCATGCAATTTTCATTTGCCTTGTATTTAATGATGAATTATATCAGCTCTGTTTGAGGACAAGAGTGAGAAATTTTAGAAAATTGCTCGAGGTGAGAAAAAAAAAATTGAACTGATAAAACTGTTCACAATGTTGCATATCACTAACTTTGAACTGATAAAACCCGCAGGCTGTTCACAATGTTGCATATCACTAACTGATTAGCTACAAAAATGTTGGGGGGGGAGAATTTTATCAAGGTTAGTCTCAGCAGGACACTTGGAAATGTCTAGAATGTGAAGTATCTTTGCAATGCAGTGAAATACAACTAGATAAGTAACAAACTCCACTTTCCACACCAAGTTTTTGTGTCAGAGGATGATCACATTCCCTATGGGTGTATCTTTGGCACTGTAAATACTTTGTAAACATGTTGCTGTCCATAAAATAACATTCGAAACCACAGAACGGTAGACTGTCCATCTCCAGGCGTGAGAAGTGTCTGAGGCCAGTTATTACAGCCTCAATAGAGTCCCAATAAAATATCATGAATGTTCTGCAGCTCAGAATGACCATCTGTGGTAGAAAAATATCAAAATAGGAACATTAGTTTCTGGACATTAGAATGTTAGGTCTGGCATTAGTTATTACACAATTCTAACGAATCCATCAATTTCAAATATTTTGTGATTTTGTTTTTCTGTGTTTGTGAAATTAGTTCCAGTCACATTCATCAATTTACTTGCAGACATTAAAGGATGTCTTAGGTCCAGATATCCATGCTAAGAATTTTGGAAAAATCCATTTGGTCCAGTTTGGTTCTGACGGCTTGTTTGGATGGATTCCCACACAAATTGATCTGATTAATCAGCTTCTCACAGGTGACCATGATTGATGTGTGTCAACATTTTAAGATCCTATTTGTTGAAGAGTTCTGTTAGGCAACTGGACTGTCTCGCCTCTCGTCCAAGAGGCAGTTCTAACTGGTGGAGGGAAGTACAGCAAATATATACATATACTCTAGGTGTGACAATGAATAAAGCTACTTCAGCTCCCCCGTTGGGTGGGCCGTTGGGGTCAACTGGGGAAGTGTAAACAGTCATTAGGAGTCTAATGGGTCGTTGCAACCCTCATCAGAATGGTTTCGGTCACATGCTTCTTTGGTGTGTGAAACTGAGGTGAATCTTTTGGGTATTGTTCCTAAGAGAGCCTTATATGTAGGTGATAGGTTGTCATGGAAGCCATTTTTGTCAACCTGGAAAAACCATCACTCAATAGAGGAGGTGGACTAAGACACAACCTACATCACCTACATATAAGGCTCTCTTAGGAACAGTACCCAAAACATTCACCTCAGTTTCACACATCAAAGACGCATGTGACCTTTCTGATGAGGCTCGCAACAACCCATCCGACTCCTAACGACTATTTACAAATTCCCCAGTTGACCCCAACGGCCCACCCAACAGGGAGGAGCAGAAGTAGCTTTAATCTTTCACACCCAGAGTATATATTTGCTGTACTCCCCTCCACCATCTTCTTTGAGAAAATCACGTCCAGTTGCCTAACAGAATTCCTCAACCTTGACCTGGATGACTGAGAATCTTCATAGACATCCTATTTGTTGTTCTAATGAAATGATGGTTCATATTCTTTACCCAGAAGCACCAGTGCCTCACAATGCACACCTTAGAAAGAGGAAAGATACTGATGAAGACGATGGAGACCAGAACGTTCTCCCTCGAATCCCCAACCCAATTGTTTGTCTTACTTCCAATGACATGCTGATTTTCCAGCTCACCATCAATCACACTGGTACTGCTCTATAATGACACAACTTGAGGTTTGACCTTTGGCTCTTTATTCACTTTATTTGTTCTAATTGTACTACTCCACTCCTAAGACCGGCGTTTGAGCCACTTCCCAGTGTATCAGAAAGACCACCTGTTCAACAGCAACCCCAGCTGGGACTTTGGTGCCTTCAGACATTTACAGATCCTTATGAAGCAGACACACTTCAACTCCAGCAGGTAGAGTCAAATCTGCATCCTGACTCATGGCTCAGTGCGTCTTTAATGGCTTGAATGGTCTGCGTTAACAGTTCCCATTTTGACAGGTTTGCCCATGTGTTCACCGACACGGGCAAGTATGTGTTTGTGGACAGTGCTGTCCCAGACTGGAGTATGGTGGTAGTGGTCAGCGGGGAGGGCACAGAGTGTGATCCCAGGGCTGCTGTGTTCCAACCCATGACCCCAGTCCAGTTGGTCAGACACGGGATTGTAAAGAAGCACAGACTGAACCTTCTGCCTGACTGGGGAGTGATACTGGGTGTGTATTCCTAACGATCAGAGCGGAAGTCTTTATTGTTTGTTCACATTTTATTACTACAGAATTGCAGCGATTTACCATATATAAAAGAGGTCTAGAGCAGTGGGTATGTGACCCCTACAGGGTCTGCAGAGATACTTAAAAGGGTTGTAATTTTATTTTTTAATGTATGAATCGTCTTTAGTGGTTTGTTTCCAGAATTCAGAGGGATGCCTTTTACACCAGGTCTCAAACTGATTCTTTGTCTTGTCTAAGGAAACTTAAAAAAAGGAAAAAGAAAGAAAATAAAATCCTACCTCCAAATCGAACTTCGATTTGAATTCCTTGTATGTTTGTTTATCATGCATAGACAACAGACAGTGTTGATATTTGAATTAGTAATAGTCGAAAATGTATGTTTGTAAATCTTGAACATGTTTATATTGCAAAAAAAATGTAATGTTCTACAGGAATTCTGATTCTGCTGCTGGTTCTGGTGGTGGTTCTCACCACCACAGTGCTGGTGCTGCGTCCCCACAAAGCCAAGCTGGTGTCTCAGTGGAGAATAAAACCAAAGTGGCGGAGTCTTGGGGAGCCTTTTTGTGTGGTGCAGTGTGTCTGCAATGGCGACAGGTGTGTTAGTGTGAATGATGATAGTGAACAGTGGTTCCATGATACTATAGTGATATTCTACAGCACAGTATTGATTTTTATAATTGACAATTATCAGTCAAATATTTATAGTGTTGGTTCATTTTAGTTTGTTTTTATTTCTTATTTAGTGATTACAAATGTAGATCTCTCTGTTCCATTTTTAGTAACTTGATGATAAGCATGGAACAGCGTTGTGTGTTTACCTCCTGCAGAACCATGAAACGCTTTGGCTTTTTATCTTATTTCTTATTATTTCAGCATCGCTGCTTCAAACACAGGAGCTGTACTTGGATGTAGGGGTGAAGGTGAGGGGTTAGAAGCTGAGGAACCTGCAATTTTCAAAGGTAAATCCGTTCTGAGGCTGAATTTAAAAAAAAAACACATTGAATGTAGAGCTACAGGGTTTGATTGTTGTTGTAACCGATTAATCTATAGACATCTTTTCCCTTTTGAAGTACCAGTAGAAACTACAGAAAGTATATAATTAAAAAAATCGATATGGAAATCATAATGCAGGGAACTTTTAATCAAATTTCCTAATTGATATGAGTCAATTGATCGTTTCAGCTCTAGTTGAATAAAAAAAATATGAACCTTATCTTCAGGAAGAGATCCTCATTGACTCAATGCATAACTACAGTATAACAGTAGGGTAATAGTCTTAGACTGGTTGTCAACCAGTCACAAAAGTATGAAATGCTTCAACAAAAACAGATCTTTTTTTTTTAGGGCTCGTTGTCTGAGCGGCTCCCCCGCTGGTGTGTAATCTGTTTGGAATAACTCTTGGTACAGCTCTCACTCATGGCTCATGGCTGAATCTGTGCAGTTTGATAGGGTGTAAAAATGTCTATTGGTCTAATCATTACAGAGTCTTCATCCATGACCAGCTGCATTTAAGAGCCTATCTCCCATCTGATTGATGCCGATGAAAATAATGGCTAATATCACACTCTGATGACTCAAGCTGTTATCTGCACTTTAATGCATTTTTATTTCTAGTCATTATCCTCCATTGAGCGGTCATTTCCACATTGACATTAAGCTACAAATTTTATCAGGCTCCACTTAAGGACGTTTTAACCTCAGATGCGTTCATTCATTAATCACCAGGGCAGCGTATCATGTCCTTACACTGATTTACAAAATAGCCACAATGTTATACAATCACTTGAAAGACCCGCTCCTTTTCAGGCAACGTGCCAGGGCTCTGTGTTTTGGAGGAGTTTAATGTGAAAACGCTGTATGACAAACTAGAGGATCAGAACCTCCACATAGCCTCGCAACTGGCCCGGCACCGCAAAGATGTGCAGGAGTTCTACAGAAACATCTGCAACCAAACTGAGACACTCAAGGTCAGACTTTGGTCTAATGTCCAGAAGAACCAGAACATGAGAATGTATATACCGTAGTAAAAACGTTGTATTTTCAGAACTTACTGGAGAACATGGATCACAAAAAACTGAGTCTGCTTAAAGAGCTGCTGGTCCATAATAAACTGAAGAAAAAATCGTCCAGCCACAGTGACGAGGACAGAGACACGCAAGGTAAAGATGAAACCTGATGTTAGATGAGGAGGAGGAGAATCTGTTTTACAGTATTTTCCCATGATTGATGTTCAAAAAGTCTTAGAAAATGTTATTTTTGCTCTGATCTGTTTATTTTTTATGGTTGACAAAGGTTGAGTGCTTTTTTTCAGTGTTGCCCATCATTAGCTACAACAACACACTGACTAATTAAAAGATCAAACGCTTCAACAAACACGACATTGTTCCCCCCTGAACACTGATGTGTTTTTCAATTTATTTCTTTGTTTAAATTTGCTCCAAAATGATCGGTGCATGAAACCGACAACCTGTCCGTCCGTCCATCCACCCAGCAGCTGAGGCCTCCACAGCTTTACTGGAAACTGTTCTCAGATCTGTGGAAGCCCTTCTCTGCAGACTGACAGAAGAACCCTGGCAGAACCAGGACATGACCGGGCTGCCGTGCGTTCACACTGTTCCACCTGACGCCACACAGGTATAAGGACGTGTAGTTTCTAGCATATATTAAAAACATATTTTAGGGCTGTCCATATTTTAACGCATTTCAACACATGGGCAGAATGAGGAGACAGCTTAGCTGTCTACAGTACCTGCTGTTGTTTGTCTTTCTGTTCCAGCAAAATACAGAACATTTCATATTTAAGTTTTTTTAATAACCTTTATTAATCATGAATAATTGTCATTAATCGCAATTACTTAAATTCAAAAGTGTTATCATGTGACAATGACAAATGTGTATAATCTTCTGTTTGAGCTTCAGTTTTTACCGATGAATATGAACAAGACAGAAGCAGTTCTGCCCTACCCTGGTAAGAAAGATGTCAGATTTGCTGCACTCAAAGACAGAATTCTTGGTGTGACACTCTCTTGTAATGATCCTCTGTGCTGAAGACCATTTGCAGAACAACGCGCCTTCTCTAAGTGATCATGACCTCTCCAAGCTGATCACAATATCTCCCCTGTTCAAAACCCTGCAAGACATCCAGCAGTCTTTGCAGACCCTGTCCACAGCTAGGTCCACTCAGCACGTCCACACCGGTACATAAAGACAATTACAAACTGGATGCAACCATGCGTGCTAACCTTGAGGTCTTAAACGAACAATCTCCTATCTGTCTCATTATCTGCAGTGTATTCTGCCCAGAAGATTCACGATGGGCAACTAATCCCCACTGCACTCGACAGCCTCTCACCTCACCATGCAGCTGTTTTCCTGTTTGGTTGTCAGGTGATGCAGTTACTTGAAAATTGCTCCCTGTTTCCCTCTGTGCTTTTGCTGCTGGCAAAGTCAATACCGGTTTCGTCATCCGCCTGTAATGAGGCTATGCTGGCACACTGCTCAGGGGACTTTTATTTTGATGAGACCAATCAAATCCTTTATCTGTCAGAGGCAAAGCTGCAGCATGTGGGACATTTTATTGCCATTATCCTGCAATCCATGGCTCACATAGCATCAGGTAATGGTGGTGTGTTCATTTACAATACTGTAAATCCCATTTTGTGTCCACCTTTCCAATTATCTATAAACAGTTCTGTGCTGGGGCTTTGGCTTCATACACATGTGTCCATTGTTCTTCCTTCAGGATCCAAACCCCAGGCCTTCATGCACGCTCTTCATGAAGCCGTCTCGGCCCTCGGCCTGGCTTCGTTCAATTTGTCTTTCCATTTAAACGCAGCAAAGGTAATCATATGTCTGAACAACAAACAAACAACAAAATCACCTGTTTCTGCTCAGGTAGGATTGAAAATATTTTTTATAATCCTATTTGATTCAGTCACCTACAAACCCGGCCGGTGGGTTAGTCAGAGACTTTCTCAACCTCAGACTTCCCTGTGAGGCACGGTTCACTGAACACCTGTTAGCACACAGGTTGGTGAGAAACGTTATCTCTGACTCTGTAGTTCAGAATGATCCATTCATATTGAATTATAAAAACATTTGTTTTTCCATTAATAGACTTGAGAAGTACAAATACTTCAAGATGGAGCAGCTCATCACTCGTCCTTCAGACAAGAACACAGTGACTGGTAAGAGCATTTTTGTCTTGTTACGTGCACCAGTGAATACAGCACCTACGACTAAATAAATAAACAACTGAATAAATACAGTTGCATAATTTTTCACAGAAGCACAACTCTATACAGTCGATATAAAATTTGGAACTGTTTCCTCTTAGAATGTTAACAGTTAATTAATTATAACAATATGATAATGGATTCACCTACGAATAAAATAAATAAACTGTCTGATTAGAATTTTTTTATATGCATTTGTTTAAATACTCAGAGTTATGTGCTTTTCTCCATTTTCCTGTTTCTCTTTTCTTTTCTGTTCTGGTTCATGTAAGAGCTGCAGCAGTCTTAGCCCCGCCCCAATGCTGATGCTTGATGACACCTGTCACAATCCAGTGCTGATCAATGCTGATATTCAGAGCTTGCAAGCAACAAAATAAAATAATAAAAATAACAACAATACTGCTACTACTAATATTATTAAATAAATAAAAACAGCATTTAAGCCAAAGAAAGTAACCATCAGCATAAATTAAATAATGATTTATGGAATATTCATAGTATGTCATTTTGGTGTATAGGTTCATTCAAACACTCACACAGAAACTTTCCTTTTCTAATGCATAAAAAACGTTTATATCTGCAGGTCCAACACCAAGAGGGACACCGATGAAGGTACAGGACTTTTTAGGCATCAAATGATGAAAATGTTACAGCCATGTTACGTTAAGTGTGGAATGTGTTAATGTTAATGTAACATTCCCTCTGTCCTAGATATCCTGCATAGAGGAAGAAATGGACCACTTGAATGAGTCTTTCCTGCAGCTAAGCATGCAGCTACAGAGCAGAGCTCAGGCGAGCAGATGGGAGAATGAGAGGGAGACGAGTGCCGAGAAGCATTCGGAGGTAATTATAGAATATTACACATTGCATAATCCAAAAAGTAATTTGCGTGCTAACTGTCTTGTGAAGAGCTTTGAAATGGTCTCTGGTATTTTATTTGCTACAAATCCTCACACATCGAGATGTATCATTACACCTCTTTCACTAATCACAAGCCTTTCATACAGAAAATGACATGCATTTATGCACTTACAGTTAAATAGTGCTAATCATTCAGGTATCTGTCCTAGGAATTAACATTTCTCCTCTTCAGCTTAAAAGACATGTTTGGTATGTACAAATATACACTGTACCACCCCACATCTGCAAACCTCTTCAATGCATTGCATGGAAATACAAGCTCAATATTGAACTTGTAGTTGAAACTATTACCTTTACAGAGCTCGCTGCCTTTAGACGTACCAAGCCTGAGTCGTGATGGTACAGTCCTACTGGAACTGAAGAGACAGTATGTAACACAGCGCCTCCATGAGCTGCAAACCACATTAGGCCTGATCAATCACTCAGGACCACTGGATGGCAGCAAGTCAAATGACTGGACAAGCTGTAAGCAAACCGACAACAGCGTCACAGCCCAGCATGTTCAAATGGACAGTTATTCTGACATGAATGACTGCAGTCCCCCAAATGCTCAGCAGGAGGATGGCATTCCAGCCAACCGCAGCCAGAGCCAAGAGACTGAACAACAAATTGAGTCAGTCTTGATAAACAGCCCGGAGACATTACTGAACGGTCAGACGCCGGGATGCCAGGATGAAATATCAGGATCAGAAAACTATCACATGGCACCATTGCCTTATACCTAAAACAACACACGGCCTGTGGGACCTTAACATGCACAAAGTTTTTTTAAACTAAGTCTACACTAGGTTTCATTAGATGGCCTAAAGCTTGGTCATATTCTCCGTGTGTATCGTTGCATACCTAATATATGCACATACACATATACAGTACATATATATATACATATACCTATATACAGACACACACATACATATATACACACGTGTTTGATACTGTTCGCAATTGCTCAGAAACAGTTTTTTGTGGCTGAGTATTTTGTCCTTTTCTCATTAGGCCTAAAATAGCCACATTTTGTGCCCTACGTGGACATCCCAGTTTATTAAAAAGTTCCGTTCTGTTTGTCAGGAAATGATCCCTACACTGCTTTATAATTATATATGACAGCAGACAAAAATCATTTCCGACAAGCAGCCGGTGACAGAAGACATGCTGTCGTGGTGTCGGAGCAGATCCTCAGTCAGGAATTAACTGTGGTCTAAAAGCAGGCGTCTGCTCATTACCATGTTCTAATTAAGACAATAAACTTCAGCTGACTGAACACGAGGTGACACTGCGCCTGTGTTTGTGTCCTACTCAGAACATCTTCTCCCTAGTGTAAAGGTTAAGGCACCCATGTGGTCATGAATATTTAAGGTTATGTAAAAAAGCCCACTACAACAATTCTCTTGCCTCTTTTGCTCTGCCTTCCTCTCCTGCCGGCCTTTTTGTCTTTTTTTTAATTTCATTCTGTTCAGTAGAATGGAAGAATAAACAGGTTGAGCTAAATGTAGCTGCAAAGTAGTTGAGCTTGTTGGATCCTACAGAACAGATGGAGATGATATACAGTGTATGCAGCTGCTGCACCTCTCTGGTTTGATTGCTCTTGTCTGACAAACAATGTTCTGGTGCCTATAATAGAAAGTGAGTATTACTGTATGCGTGCGGCCACGAGCCATATCAAAAGGTCAGATGGAACAAGTCTTGACTGACTATCAGTGTTAACTAAGGAGTCGGTGCCAAGTGGCCCAGGCTGGAGCTGGCTGTGTGCCCATTCGTGTCTGTGGGTTTTGACTGCACATAAGGGAGGTGTGCCGGGTCACATGGTCCATCATTTAGATTAGCCTGGATTAGATTGAAATGTGCTACTGAACTTGAGTGCCTATGTGTCTAGGAGAAGTATCCAAGGTCATGTGACCTCAAGTTAAGCTGCTCTAATTTGACGACACATTATGATGATTTACAGTGGCTCAGCAACAAAAACATTTAGCAAAATTCTAAAAACAAATATTTTCTGGTCATTGTAAACCGTGTGTGGTTAGTAAAGAGTTAGTAAAGGCAACATCCGGTGAAATATTCTATTTAATGTGTTGTGTGTTGTTTTGAACCAGTAATTTCCAAAGTGGGGGCAGTCCCCTCCAGGTGGCACAGAGATACTTTGTGTTAATGTAGCAAAGGAAATTCATTTCAAATTCAATATTTTCTTTATGTGTCCCCCAGTGTGGAAATGCACTCATTTGTAATTGTATTTCTTTCATGGTACTTTTGTAGGAGTTACAGTGTTTTAATAAAGTTCAGTGAAGCGTTAGCTGCAGATGTGTTTCTTAACTTTGTAATTTGGTTTTTAAATATCTTCTACATATTTCTTACAGTTCCTTTTTACTGCTCTTTCAGGGGCAGTTGTAGCCCCCTCACCCCCCCACCCCCCACGACCCCCCACACACACACACACAACCATTGAAATGTTTCTTACTTCTGTTTGTGTTAACATATGATCTGTAAACAATTTTAAGCTCTGCAGTTTGAAGTATCTTCTTTTAACCCGGGCAACATAATTACAGCATGCTGCTCGTCCTCACGTCTGTTCCTCCTGACACCCCCACACTCTGTGTCCAAACAATCCTGCTGTGTGTGTGTAATTTCTTTTGTAATTGCCGAACCTAATGTGTTTTCACTGTGCATAAGGACAGAAAATTGCAGGCTGCATGGACGCGGTCCACACCAATTGATAGATGCTCCGAGGGACGTTCTGTACACATCATACTGTACGGCAGCAACCGGGACATTTGCATGTCAATTACCAACATGTTTCATCCACGCCTGTACAGCTGCGGTAATCACGCTCTAATCTAGAAATACTTCCCAATCCTCTCAACAGCACATCCCTCACACACACACGGCATGTCAATACAATCATATCTACAGCTCAACAATATGATTATGAAAACCAGTCACTCCCTGTTCACGGTTTTACCAAGTATATCAGGTCTTAGTATAATCTGATCCAATCTGAACTATAACTGATCAACTGTATCCTGCAGTGATGAAAAACACACAACATCAAAGTTTCTTCTCATCATTTTTCTTTCTTTTTTTAAAATTTTATGACAAGTAAACAACACTTGAAGCAGTGATAACACGCAGCTCAACATAGAGCTTGCTTCCTGAACCTGTGGGCTGTGCCTTGGCAGTCCTACTCTACCGTCACCATGGCACTGTATTTCTGTTGCCATGGTTGCCTTACCTACCTCCAGGATGTGGTTGATCCAGGCCTGCCATATTTAGCCCGCTCCTCAGCAAGCACCTAAACTGAAGAAAAAATCGTCCAGCCACAGTGACGAGGACAGAGACACGCAAGGTAAAGATGAAACCTGATGTTAGATGAGGAGGAGGAGAATCTGTTTTACAGTATTTTCCCATGATTGATGTTCAAAAAGTCTTAGAAAATGTTATTTTTGCTCTGATCTGTTTATTTTTTATGGTTGACAAAGGTTGAGTGCTTTTTTTCAGTGTTGCCCATCATTAGCTACAACAACACACTGACTAATTAAAAGATCAAACGCTTCAACAAACACGACATTGTTCCCCCCTGAACACTGATGTGTTTTTCAATTTATTTCTTTGTTTAAATTTGCTCCAAAATGATCGGTGCATGAAACCGACAACCTGTCCGTCCGTCCATCCACCCAGCAGCTGAGGCCTCCACAGCTTTACTGGAAACTGTTCTCAGATCTGTGGAAGCCCTTCTCTGCAGACTGACAGAAGAACCCTGGCAGAACCAGGACATGACCGGGCTGCCGTGCGTTCACACTGTTCCACCTGACGCCACACAGGTATAAGGACGTGTAGTTTCTAGCATATATTAAAAACATATTTTAGGGCTGTCCATATTTTAACGCATTTCAACACATGGGCAGAATGAGGAGACAGCTTAGCTGTCTACAGTACCTGCTGTTGTTTGTCTTTCTGTTCCAGCAAAATACAGAACATTTCATATTTAAGTTTTTTTAATAACCTTTATTAATCATGAATAATTGTCATTAATCGCAATTACTTAAATTCAAAAGTGTTATCATGTGACAATGACAAATGTGTATAATCTTCTGTTTGAGCTTCAGTTTTTACCGATGAATATGAACAAGACAGAAGCTGTTCTGCCCTACCCTGGTAAGAAAGATGTCAGATTTGCTGCACTCAAAGACAGAATTCTTGGTGTGACACTCTCTTGTAATGATCCTCTGTGCTGAAGACCATTTGCAGAACAACGCGCCTTCTCTAAGTGATCATGACCTCTCCAAGCTGATCACAATATCTCCCCTGTTCAAAACCCTGCAAGACATCCAGCAGTCTTTGCAGACCCTGTCCACAGCTAGGTCCACTCAGCACGTCCACACCGGTACATAAAGACAATTACAAACTGGATGCAACCATGCGTGCTAACCTTGAGGTCTTAAACGAACAATCTCCTATCTGTCTCATTATCTGCAGTGTATTCTGCCCAGAAGATTCACGATGGGCAACTAATCCCCACTGCACTCGACAGCCTCTCACCTCACCATGCAGCTGTTTTCCTGTTTGGTTGTCAGGTGATGCAGTTACTTGAAAATTGCTCCCTGTTTCCCTCTGTGCTTTTGCTGCTGGCAAAGTCAATACCGGTTTCGTCATCCGCCTGTAATGAGGCTATGCTGGCACACTGCTCAGGGGACTTTTATTTTGATGAGACCAATCAAATCCTTTATCTGTCAGAGGCAAAGCTGCAGCATGTGGGACATTTTATTGCCATTATCCTGCAATCCATGGCTCACATAGCATCAGGTAATGGTGGTGTGTTCATTTACAATACTGTAAATCCCATTTTGTGTCCACCTTTCCAATTATCTATAAACAGTTCTGTGCTGGGGCTTTGGCTTCATACACATGTGTCCATTGTTCTTCCTTCAGGATCCAAACCCCAGGCCTTCATGCACGCTCTTCATGAAGCCGTCTCGGCCCTCGGCCTGGCTTCGTTCAATTTGTCTTTCCATTTAAACGCAGCAAAGGTAATCATATGTCTGAACAACAAACAAACAACAAAATCACCTGTTTCTGCTCAGGTAGGATTGAAAATATTTTTTATAATCCTATTTGATTCAGTCACCTACAAACCCGGCCGGTGGGTTAGTCAGAGACTTTCTCAACCTCAGACTTCCCTGTGAGGCACGGTTCACTGAACACCTGTTAGCACACAGGTTGGTGAGAAACGTTATCTCTGACTCTGTAGTTCAGAATGATCCATTCATATTGAATTATAAAAACATTTGTTTTTCCATTAATAGACTTGAGAAGTACAAATACTTCAAGATGGAGCAGCTCATCACTCGTCCTTCAGACAAGAACACAGTGACTGGTAAGAGCATTTTTGTCTTGTTACGTGCACCAGTGAATACAGCACCTACGACTAAATAAATAAACAACTGAATAAATACAGTTGCATAATTTTTCACAGAAGCACAACTCTATACAGTCGATATAAAATTTGGAACTGTTTCCTCTTAGAATGTTAACAGTTAATTAATTATAACAATATGATAATGGATTCACCTACGAATAAAATAAATAAACTGTCTGATTAGAATTTTTTTATATGCATTTGTTTAAATACTCAGAGTTATGTGCTTTTCTCCATTTTCCTGTTTCTGTTTTCTTTTCTGTTCTGGTTCATGTAAGAGCTGCAGCAGTCTTAGCCCCGCCCCAATGCTGATGCTTGATGACACCTGTCACAATCCAGTGCTGATCAATGCTGATATTCAGAGCTTGCAAGCAACAAAATAAAATAATAAAAATAACAACAATACTGCTACTACTAATATTATTAAATAAATAAAAACAGCATTTAAGCCAAAGAAAGTAACCATCAGCATAAATTAAATAATGATTTATGGAATATTCATAGTATGTCATTTTGGTGTATAGGTTCATTCAAACACTCACACAGAAACTTTCCTTTTCTAATGCATAAAAAACGTTTATATCTGCAGGTCCAACACCAAGAGGGACACCGATGAAGGTACAGGACTTTTTAGGCATCAAATGATGAAAATGTTACAGCCATGTTACGTTAAGTGTGGAATGTGTTAATGTTAATGTAACATTCCCTCTGTCCTAGATATCCTGCATAGAGGAAGAAATGGACCACTTGAATGAGTCTTTCCTGCAGCTAAGCATGCAGCTACAGAGCAGAGCTCAGGCGAGCAGATGGGAGAATGAGAGGGAGACGAGTGCCGAGAAGCATTCGGAGGTAATTATAGAATATTACACATTGCATAATCCAAAAAGTAATTTGCGTGCTAACTGTCTTGTGAAGAGCTTTGAAATGGTCTCTGGTATTTTATTTGCTACAAATCCTCACACATCGAGATGTATCATTACACCTCTTTCACTAATCACAAGCCTTTCATACAGAAAATGACATGCATTTATGCACTTACAGTTAAATAGTGCTAATCATTCAGGTATCTGTCCTAGGAATTAACATTTCTCCTCTTCAGCTTAAAAGACATGTTTGGTATGTACAAATTTACACTGTACCACCCCACATCTGCAAACCTCTTCAATGCATTGCATGGAAATACAAGCTCAATATTGAACTTGTAGTTGAAACTATTACCTTTACAGAGCTCGCTGCCTTTAGACGTACCAAGCCTGAGTCGTGATGGTACAGTCCTACTGGAACTGAAGAGACAGTATGTAACACAGCGCCTCCATGAGCTGCAAACCACATTAGGCCTGATCAATCACTCAGGACCACTGGATGGCAGCAAGTCAAATGACTGGACAAGCTGTAAGCAAACCGACAACAGCGTCACAGCCCAGCATGTTCAAATGGACAGTTATTCTGACATGAATGACTGCAGTCCCCCAAATGCTCAGCAGGAGGATGGCATTCCAGCCAACCGCAGCCAGAGCCAAGAGACTGAACAACAAATTGAGTCAGTCTTGATAAACAGCCCGGAGACATTACTGAACGGTCAGACGCCGGGATGCCAGGATGAAATATCAGGATCAGAAAACTATCACATGGCACCATTGCCTTATACCTAAAACAACACACGGCCTGTGGGACCTTAACATGCACAAAGTTTTTTTAAACTAAGTCTACACTAGGTTTCATTAGATGGCCTAAAGCTTGGTCATATTCTCCGTGTGTATCGTTGCATACCTAATATATGCACATACACATATACAGTACATATATATATACATATACCTATATACAGACACACACATACATATATACACACGTGTTTGATACTGTTCGCAATTGCTCAGAAACAGTTTTTTGTGGCTGAGTATTTTGTCCTTTTCTCATTAGGCCTAAAATAGCCACATTTTGTGCCCTACGTGGACATCCCAGTTTATTAAAAAGTTCCGTTCTGTTTGTCAGGAAATGATCCCTACACTGCTTTATAATTATATATGACAGCAGACAAAAATCATTTCCGACAAGCAGCCGGTGACAGAAGACATGCTGTCGTGGTGTCGGAGCAGATCCTCAGTCAGGAATTAACTGTGGTCTAAAAGCAGGCGTCTGCTCATTACCATGTTCTAATTAAGACAATAAACTTCAGCTGACTGAACACGAGGTGACACTGCGCCTGTGTTTGTGTCCTACTCAGAACATCTTCTCCCTAGTGTAAAGGTTAAGGCACCCATGTGGTCATGAATATTTAAGGTTATGTAAAAAAGCCCACTACAACAATTCTCTTGCCTCTTTTGCTCTGCCTTCCTCTCCTGCCGGCCTTTTTGTCTTTTTTTTAATTTCATTCTGTTCAGTAGAATGGAAGAATAAACAGGTTGAGCTAAATGTAGCTGCAAAGTAGTTGAGCTTGTTGGATCCTACAGAACAGATGGAGATGATATACAGTGTATGCAGCTGCTGCACCTCTCTGGTTTGATTGCTCTTGTCTGACAAACAATGTTCTGGTGCCTATAATAGAAAGTGAGTATTACTGTATGCGTGCGGCCACGAGCCATATCAAAAGGTCAGATGGAACAAGTCTTGACTGACTATCAGTGTTAACTAAGGAGTCGGTGCCAAGTGGCCCAGGCTGGAGCTGGCTGTGTGCCCATTCGTGTCTGTGGGTTTTGACTGCACATAAGGGAGGTGTGCCGGGTCACATGGTCCATCATTTAGATTAGCCTGGATTAGATTGAAATGTGCTACTGAACTTGAGTGCCTATGTGTCTAGGAGAAGTATCCAAGGTCATGTGACCTCAAGTTAAGCTGCTCTAATTTGACGACACATTATGATGATTTACAGTGGCTCAGCAACAAAAACATTTAGCAAAATTCTAAAAACAAATATTTTCTGGTCATTGTAAACCGTGTGTGGTTAGTAAAGAGTTAGTAAAGGCAACATCCGGTGAAATATTCTATTTAATGTGTTGTGTGTTGTTTTGAACCAGTAATTTCCAAAGTGGGGGCAGTCCCCTCCAGGTGGCACAGAGATACTTTGTGTTAATGTAGCAAAGGAAATTCATTTCAAATTCAATATTTTCTTTATGTGTCCCCCAGTGTGGAAATGCACTCATTTGTAATTGTATTTCTTTCATGGTACTTTTGTAGGAGTTACAGTGTTTTAATAAAGTTCAGTGAAGCGTTAGCTGCAGATGTGTTTCTTAACTTTGTAATTTGGTTTTTAAATATCTTCTACATATTTCTTACAGTTCCTTTTTACTGCTCTTTCAGGGGCAGTTGTAGCCCCCTCACCCCCTCACCCCCCACGACCCCCCACACACACACACACAACCATTGAAATGTTTCTTACTTCTGTTTGTGTTAACATATGATCTGTAAACAATTTTAAGCTCTGCAGTTTGAAGTATCTTTTTTTAACCCGGGCAACATAATTACAGCATGCTGCTCGTCCTCACGTCTGTTCCTCCTGACACCCCCACACTCTGTGTCCAAACACTTCTGCTGTGTGTGTGTAATTTCTTTTGTAATTGCCGAACCTAATGTGTTTTCACTGTGCATAAGGACAGAAAATTGCAGGCTGCATGGACGCGGTCCACACCAATTGATAGATGCTCCGAGGGACGTTCTGTACACATCATACTGTACGGCAGCAACCGGGACATTTGCATGTCAATTACCAACATGTTTCATCCACGCCTGTACAGCTGCGGTAATCACGCTCTAATCTAGAAATACTTCCCAATCCTCTCAACAGCACATCCCTCACACACACACGGCATGTCAATACAATCATATCTACAGCTCAACAATATGATTATGAAAACCAGTCACTCCCTGTTCACGGTTTTACCAAGTATATCAGGTCTTAGTATAATCTGATCCAATCTGAACTATAACTGATCAACTGTATCCTGCAGTGATGAAAAACACACAACATCAAAGTTTCTTCTCATCATTTTTCTTTCTTTTTTTAAAATTTTATGACAAGTAAACAACACTTGAAGCAGTGATAACACGCAGCTCAACATAGAGCTTGCTTCCTGAACCTGTGGGCTGTGCCTTGGCAGTCCTACTCTACCGTCACCATGGCACTGTATTTCTGTTGCCATGGTTGCCTTACCTACCTCCAGGATGTGGTTGATCCAGGCCTGCCATATTTAGCCCGCTCCTCAGAAAGCACCCCCCGCCCGTTGAAGTAGACATTATCAGGAGGATAAGATCCGCCACCTCCTCACTGCTCCTACAGAGTAATCTCCAACTGGAACCTGGGGCAGGACTGGAAATGCACGTTGGTTTGTTAGTGGTTTTTATTGCACAGCAGTACAGAAAAATATGTGAAATGTATTTTTTCAAGATTAGTAAAAAAACAAAAAACATTTTGCACAAATTTAATAATTTTAAAAATATAAATTCAGAATGAAATCCCAGTCAAATTGCACATCTTTCTGATTCCTGTAAGTCTAAGGCTGTAAGTCTCCCCTGCCCCCTAACTTTTCAGTGTACGTCTAATGATATACAGGAAGTTGCTTGCTGAGTATCTATCGATCAGGAAAAGGAACAGAGATATGGGCACCCAGTGGATTCCGTTGATTGGCCATTATAAAACCTTTCAGCCTCAGGAAAGGAGCAAATCAAGCAGGTCTGAGGTTCACGCTGAGAAGCAGAGCAGGTTTTTACAGCAGTGGAGCGTCTACTCCATCAATTAAAATGTAATTGTGCTCAGCCACTTCATATTAGTGTCATTTTTCATATAGAATAAATCAAAATGAAATCAAAATGTAAATAGAGAGTGAAGACAATACAGACAGGAGATGTTTCTGTGTGTCTGAAAATAGACAGGAAAGGGAGGGACCTCTGACCGTACCACTGATCCTCACAGGATGAGGGATCATTAGTTCAGTCTCCTGCACAGCTTCAATCACGCGATCAACCACACACACACACACACACACACACGCGCCTGTGTGTGTAGGACGCTGCTC